AGAGGAATTAGAGATGTGTGCATATGTATGGGGGTATGATATAACAGGCATCACAGAAACATGGTGGGTTGGCTAATATGACTGGAGTGTTGGAATGGAAGGTTACAGGCTCTTTAGAAAAGACAGGCCCGGCAGGCAGGGAGGGGGAGTTGCCCTTTATGTTAGGGATAGGCTGGAGAGTATGGAACTCTGTCTGGGGACAGGTGAGCAGTTAACAGAGAGTTTGTGGGTCAGGGTTAAAGGGAGAACAGCGATGGGAGACATTACTGTGGGGATCTGTTACAGACCAACTGGTCAAGGAGAACCTGCGGATGAAGCACTCTATAGACAGACAGGAAAAGCCTCACGCTCGCAGGCCCGTGTTCTCATGGGGGACTTCAACCACCCTGACATCTGTTGGAGGGATGATACATCCCAGCACAAGCAATCCAGGAGGTTCCTTGATTGTGTGGAAGACAACTTCCTTCTGCAAGTAATAGAGGAGCCAACAAGGAGGTGCCATGCTTGACCTCGTGCTCACCAACAGGGAAGGGCTCGTTGGAAATGTGACGCTCCAGGGCAGCCTTGGATGCAGCGATCATGAGATGGTCGAATTCAAGATCCTCAGGACAGTGAGAAGAGCGTGCAGCAAGCTCACTGCCCTGGACTTCAAGAGAGCAGATACTGGCCTCTTCAGGAACCTGCTTGGTAAGGTTCCATGGGATACAGCCCTAGAGGGCAGCGGGGCCCAAAACTTTTGGTTGAAGGATCACCTGCTACAAGCTCAGGAGTGTTGCATCCCAGCTAGAAGGAAGTGCAGCAGGAGGGCCAGGACACCTCCTTGGATGGTGTCGTGGTTTAAACCCAGTCAGGTAATTCGTTCGCTCACTTCCCCCCCTTTCTTGCCCTCCCCCTGCTCTCGGAGGGACAGAGAGGAGAATCGAAAAAAGAATGCAACTCCCACGGGTTGAGATAAGAACAGTTTAGTAACTAAGGTATAACACAAATCATTACTGCTACCACCAATGATAATAATGATAAAGGAAATAACAAGGGAAGAGAATACATCATCTCACCACCAGCCGACCGATAACTTGCCCCCCTCAGCCTGACCAAGCACCGACCGATACCTCCTCCAACCCTGCAGTCCCCCAGCCCTTCCGGCTAACTCCCAGTTACATCCTGGCCATGACGTGCTGTGGTATGGAATACCTCTTTGGTCAGTTTGGGTCAGGTGTCCTGTCTCTGCTTCCTCCTGGCTTCCCCTCCTCCCTGGCAGAGCATGAGGCTCACAAAGTCCCTGGCCAAACCAGAACATCGCTATCAGTTCTGTTCCCAGTCCGAAAGTCAAAACACTACACTGCACCAGCTACCAAGAAGGAGAAACATGACTGCTACTGCTGAACCCAGGACAGATGGATAAGGAGATGCTGAGGAGAATTCAAAGGGAAAAGGAGGCTTATAAAAGGTGGAAGCAAGGACAGGCGGCCTGGGAAGAATACAGGGATGTTGTCCGGGAAGTTAGGGACCAAGTTAGGAAATCTAAGGCCCAGTTAGAATTAAACTTGGCTAGGGATGTGAAAGATAACAGGAAGGGATTCTACAGGTACATTGCAAATAAAAGACAGACTAGGGACAACGTAGGCCCCCTCCGGAAGCTATCAGGAGAACTGGCTACCCTGGATTTGGAGAAGGCTGAGGTTCTGAATGACTTCTTTGCCTCACTCTTCACTGGCAAAGGCTCTGACCACACAACACAAGTCTTGGAAGGCAGACGCAGGGACTGTGAGAATGAGGACCTTGGGACCACTGTAGGAGAAGAACTGGTTTGAGACCATCTTAAAAATACGAACGTGCACAAGTCCATGGGTCCTGATGAAATCCATCTGCGGATCCTGAAGGAGCTGGTGAATGAAGTTGCTAACCCATTGGCCATCATATTTGAAAAATCATGGCAGTCAGGTTAAGTTCCTGATGACTGGAAAAAGGGAAATATAACCCCCATTTTCAAGAAGGGGAAAATGGATGACCCGGGGAATTACAGACCAGTCAGTCTCACCTCTGTGCCTGGCAAAATCTTGGAGCACATTCTCCTGGAAGGCATGCTAAGGCACATGAAAATCAACAAGGTGCTTGGTGACAGCCAGCATGGCTTCACTAAGGGGAAATCCTGCCTGACCAATTTGGTGGCCTTCTATGATGGGGCTACAGAACTGATGGACAGGGGTAGAGCAGTTGATGTTATCTACCTGGACTTGTGCAAAGCATTCGACACTGTCCCACACGACATCCTTGTCTCTAAATTGGAGAGACATCGATTTGATGGATGGACCACTCGGTGGATGGATGGCCACACATAAAGAGTTGTGGTCAATGGCTCAATGTCCGGCCGGGGACCAGTAACAAGTGGTGTCCCTCAGGGATCGGTGTTGGGACTGGTCTTGTTCAACATCTTTGTCGCTGACATGGACAGTGGGATTGAGTGCGCCCTCAGCAAGTTTGCCGATGACACCAAGCTGTGTGGTTCGGTTGATACGCTGGAGGGAAGGAATGCCATCCAGAGGGACCTTGACATGCTTGTGAGGTGGGCTGATGCCAGCCTCATGAAGTTTAACCATGACAAGTGCAAGGTCCTACACCTGGGTCAGAGCAACCCCAGGCACAGCTACAGGTTGGGCAGAGAAGAGATTCAGAGCAGCCCTGAGGAGAAGGACTTAGGGGTGTTGGTTGATGAGAAAATGAACATGAGCCAGCAGTGTGTGCTCACAGCCCAGAAAGCCAACCGTATCCTGGGCTGCATCAAAAGGAGCGTGACCAGCAGGTCGAAGGAGGTGATCCTGCCCCTCTACTCTGCTCTTGTGAGACCTCCCCTGGAGTACTGTGTGCAGTTCTGGTGTCCTCAACATAAAAAGGACATGGAACTGTTGGAACAAGTCCAGAGAAGGGCCACGAGGATGATCAGGGGACTGGAGCACCTCCAGTATGAAGACAGGCTGAGGAAGTTGGGGCTGTTCAGCCTGGAGAAGAGAAGGCTGCATGGAGACCTCATAGCAGCCTTCCAGTATCTGAAGGGGGGTGCTACAGGGATGCTGCGGATGGACTATTCATTAGGGAGCGTAGTGATAGGAGAAGGAGTAATGGGTTAAAACTTTAACAGGGGAAGTTTAGATTGGATATAAGGAAGAAATTCTTTACTGTAAGGGTGATGAGGCACTGGAATGGGTTGCCCAGGGAGGTTGTGAATGCTCCATCTTTGGCGGTGTTCAAGGCCAGGCTGGACTGAGCCTTGGGTGAGATGGTTTAGTGTGAGGTGGTTTAGTGTGAGGTGACCCTACCCATGGTAGGGGGTTTGGAACTAGATGATCTTAAGGTCCTTTCCGACCCTAACTGTTCTATGATTCTAAGATATCAGTCTGAGAGTAAAGAATTGTAAGAATTAGGATTCTACCACTCCCTTAGCTGTCCAACTCCAGCAGCAGGGTATTTCCATCTTCTACACCTTCATGATCCTCAAACATTCTGTCCTCTCAGCCCTTCCAAAACACTCTGGTTCTCTCACAGAAGCACTGATATGATGGCCAGGCCATTCTAGCCTATTTTCCATGAGACACTTAGGATTGGGTAGATGTGGGACACACACAGAACAAAGCCATCCTATTAGCACCAAGTACAAGATGCGTAAGAAACAAGAACCATCTTCAAACACAGTTAATGAAAAGACTTGCCATTTTGTAGCCCTACAAGGTCTGGCACAAGAGACAAGAGTGTTATAAGGTTGTTGGGCATCGTCTGTGCTCTGTTCTGGTTTGTTTCAACATAAATCAGTACCAGTGTTGAGGCACAAATCAAATGTATATACATTCAAACTATTTGCAGCAGTTACCAGCAACACACCAAGGAATCAAACCAAAGATATGCTTCTGCTCTGACTAATGATGTAAATTGAAACAAAGTAACGTAAGCCACAGGCTAATTACAGCCCTTTAAGCAAGATTTTCATTTGGACATTCCATGACTTTTCCATATGGGTGGATATAGTACTAGAAATAATTAAGTATCCCCACAACAAACAACTGAGCTGCCAAAATAAAGCCAGTGCTGCATAGAAGGAAGAACAAGATCACAGCCAAAACGCACCTAAGGCAAATTACCAGGACACCAAATTCTTAGAAGTGACAGAAGTTTCCTTCCTTTCTAACACAGCACAGAACGCTAGAAAACACCCAGTAAATACTAGGAGTTAGATTAATGTGACAGACAGTCAAAAACTGATACTCAAAGAACAAACCTGTATACTTTGGCAAGGCCACACAAAACAACATTAACTGTCCTCAATTATATTTCCATCAGTTTTACTCTGTAAATCCCTGTAATTATAGTTATCAAACTAAATACTCTTTGAAATTCAACTTGGGTATAACACATACCAGAGGCATCTGTGGAAAATTATCAGACAAGCTGTTTTGCTGTGGTTGATACCTGAGGAGTCAGTAACTACTTACAACAGCAATGCTTTTCATATATTCTAGTTTAACCACAGCAGCAGGCAGGCAAATAACAGCCAATAGTAATTTTGTATTAAGTTATGCTGTGATGCTGGGCATGTACAGAGCATACTTTTCTTTCTATGACAATTAATAACTAACTAGCTTACTACTAAAGCTGTAAGGGTAAGACATCACTGAATTATGTGCATCTACTTCAGTGCACTGGTGGCTTTAAGCTGACAGGGGAGATTAGACATTAAATAAAAATTCTTCCTTGTGAGGGTGGTGAGACCCTGGCACAGGTTGCCCAGAGAAGCTGTGGATGCCTCATCCCTGGCAGTGTTCAAGGCCAGGGTGGATGGGGCTTTGAGTAACCTGGCGTACTGGAAGGTGTCCCTGCCTATGGCAGGGGGTTGGAACTAGGTGATCTTAAGTTCCTTTTCAACCCAAACCATTCTACGATTCTATGATGTTCTTAAAGACAGTATTTCCTCAAAACGCCAAATTAATCAGTACTTACATTTCGGTACTTACCAGACTCTAATCCACCATATTTGTAAGGATACTGCACACAAAGGCACAGCTGTAAGCTAATCTGAGTCTTCCCAGCAGAACTTTCCCCGGCAACTTCTGTGATTCCCACTAAGGGAATGCCACCTTTTAACAAGTTATCTAGTACTGAACATCCAAGGCTCAGCTTCTGGTGCTGAGAGGTGTGATGATCTTTATCTTGGTAGAGCTGAAGTGCTGCAGGGTTTGAGGTTTTGTTGTTTTTTTTTAATATTAAAAAGGGACAAAAAAAAAAAAGAGGAGTTTCATTCGGTACCTTTCCAACATGCAATGATACAAAATAGAAGCTTTATACCAGATGTATGCCTGTAAGAGATGCTTGCTTTGTTGATGGGAATTTTTCTGAGTCAGCCTCTTCTTTCCACCTCCCTTTCCCCATAGGCCCTACTAACCAAATGCCTGCTCAAAAACTGAGAGTTTACACTGAGCCCTTTCCACCTCTCAAAGCTTTTTTCCTTTCTCTGCCTCCAAAGAGGCTCTGTGGGAAGCTATAGCCTCAGAAAATACTGCCAGCAAGGTTCAAGCACAATTACGCTAAATGGAAAGCTATAGCAGACTATGAAACAGTGTAGCAGGCACCTGGCCAAAGCCTGAAGACATATGCACATCAAAAAATACATTTTAATACAGAGCTGCTATGACGCATTTGTACAGGAGGAGCTACTAGGTCCTGCTTATTTTGGAATGAGATGTTTATATCAAATCAGTTTATGTAGTTTTTTAAAATGTAAGTTTTTCAACAAGTCTTAGTCCAAAAGAAAAATTGCAAGAGGGGGAGAGAGAGTGAGAAAGAAAAATGTTTTGTTCCTTTAATCAAGTTTTTCAGACTGGAGAATTATTTTGTCCTGTTTCAAGCAGGCTTGATCTTGAAGAATGACACCCACCCACTTCCATGTACCTTTAAGGTCTCTAAGAGGAGCTGTCCTTTGCATAGTTAAGTAATTCACCACAGCATTATAGAAACACTTGCCTTTTCATTTTCAGACTTGCATTACTGAGTCAATGAGGAGCCAAAACCGTATTTGCTCTCAGTGAGAGGTATTTTAAGACTTAAATAGAACAGGGGGTTTTGTATTGACTGTACTACCTGTAAGCATACTGTTTCTCCTTAGCATGTGAGAGACCGTTTTCAATAAGCACTGTATATCTGCACTGGACAGTTTCATCAATCGTTGCAAGTCTGCTCCAGAAAGATTTAAAATCTCCTTTATTGATTTTATGTCAGCTGAAATTAGAAGAATTTTTATAAATACTTTGGGGCAGATTACAGTTTTATGCACAAAAGTAAGTCTTCCCACTTCCTATTACTCATTTACTTAAGTTTGTCTACCCTGCATTCTTGTAAGCTGGGCAGGCAACACTTACTTTGACTGCACCAACACATGCTATAAAATTGTTTGGAAAATTATTATTGGAGCACGGGCAAAAGCCATCATTTCAAGTTACTCAAAAAACTTGCTTATGAAACAATTACAGTTCTAAAATGCTAATGTACATCTATATACTTATACCCACAGAAGAAAGACACTTTGCTGACAGATCTATTAGTGAGACACTGGCAAAATAAGTTACCTTTCTTAAGGGCAGCAATTACTTTAGGGTTCAAGTCAAACTGGTCCCAATCCATTTTCTGATATAGCACCTGGATGAACAGTGCATCATGCAATCATCTGTAATTAAAGTGGCTTTTATCAGATATACATGCAACAAGAAAAGTAAGCATCATTCAAAAGTCTCTAGGATACATTCTTACTTTTTGATGATACATTTATCAGTTAGTTTAGAAAAATAGTTATTCAGCACATTGGCAGAAGTCTTCTCAGACAGCTGTTGACATATATACCCTGTTAAAGAGTTCAACCAGTAATACTGCTGTTAAGAGCTACTAGTCACTTGTAATGGCTTACAATGGCTTGTAATTCTGCATAGTGCTTTTGCTCTGGATTGAACAAAGCTCACAAATACTCTGGACAATCATTTCTATCCAACCACTTTTTACATCAGTTTTTAATTTTCAAATAGAAAATAAATCTTATGCATGTGCAATTTACGATGATCCAGGACTATTCATACATTGGTTAGTCAAACATATATTTATTAATGAATAGCAAATTTAGCATTAGAACATTAAAATCAGTTTGTTTCTTGAAACAACATTAAACACTTTTTAATACTTTGATCTGAAACACAATAGCTTAGCACTAGAGTTGCCTGGAAGAGGTTTGCTGCTATTATTCAGATCATCGCCATGAAGGCTTGCGGCAGACCCAAGGGAGTTAGGTAAGAATATGCGACTTAATGAACAATCCCTTTTTTAACATGGAGGAGAGTTTGCCGTGGATCCTGACGGCAGAACAAATACAGGAAAAGAAAGTTATTTTTAAGCAACACCTCTGTAAAGCAGCATTCTGACAAGAGCTAGAAGTCAAAACTTACTGATGTCAATCATGATTACAGTGACCTCTGACAGGATGGGTTCCAACCCATTTTGCACACCCTGGGCACACGAAGCCGCGCCAGGGCGGCCACCGTTTGAGGCCCTAAAAGAGAAATCAGCAGAAACAAGTCGCGGAGAAGTCAGGCGGCTCCCACGGACGAGGCGCGGCGGAGGCCGCTCGGATCTGCCACAGCCCAGACACGGGGAAAGGCGAACGGGACAGAGGGGAGGGGAGGGGAGGGGAGGGGAGTGCAGTGAGGGCCGCGGCGGGCAGGCAGCGCAGCACCAACCGTAGCCCCAGCGTGCCTGTGACGTCACTGGACACAGGCCAATCAAAACTCCCCAAAGCCGCAGCTGCAGCCATGCGCTGTTTGGCCGTCACTATCGCTGATTGGCTATCACGCTTCCCCCGACACGGAACACGAGGCGCGACTGCGGCGCGCATGCCCTTCCCTTCCGGGTTGTGGGGCTGGCGATTCCAGTTGCGCATGCGCTCCGAGCACCTAAAGGGGTGTGGAAGGAATAACACGCCTATCTTAAATCCCAAGCAACAGGGGATTGGCTAGGAAGTCCAGAGGCAGCGTTTTATTGGGTGTCTGGAGAGAGTGGGCGGAGCCTGGCGGCCCCTTGCTTGGCGGAGTGGTGGCGGGGTTGGAGGGAAGATGTCGGGTTGTGAGGCCCGCGATGCCAAGAAGCTGGTGCGGTCGCCCAGTGGGCTGCGCATGGTGCCCGAGCACCGCTCTGCCCGCAGCCCCTTCGGCCTGGACGAGCCGCCCTGGGTGCCTGACAAGGAGGTATCGGTAGGGGCGGGGGCGCCGCTCTTCCCTTCCCTAGGGGTGCGGGGCTTCTCTGCGCGCCCGAATCGTCGGCCCGTTGTCCGCGGGGCCCTCGCCGCCTCAGGGACCGCTGCCCTGTAGAGAGCCGGGACACGACTCGCCTGGCCGGCGATCGAGCGTTGAGATGGCGCTTCTTCCCTCTTCTGTCGCGTCCCTGCCGTCCCCCCGCCGTCGCTACCTGTCGGGTGGCGGGGGCCCGCCCGGGGGCCGATGAGTGGCGGGCAGCCTCGTTTCGCCAGGTAGCGGGTCGGGATGGTGGATGTGAATCACAGCGGTTTTGTTTCGCATAGATCAACGGACTGAAAGGACAGGGCTGTCGCTCGTTCTCCGGGAATGTGCGCCCTCTCACAAAAATGAGTGTGGAACTGAACGAGTTAAAAGTGCTGTGAGCATTGATGTTTAGTGAAGTATTCTCTTTAAATCCCTATAAATCTAATTCTGAAGACCGTGTTGATTTAAAAAAGAATGTTGCAAAGTGATAAGGCAGTAGAGCGAAGAGCAGCCCCTTTGGCTCCCTGTGTGAATGTTTGTAGCCTTAAAGAGTATTGAATAGCATAGATTGTTTCAATCAACTTTCCAAGTAAGCTATGTGATCATGACGTTGTATTAAACTTCATGTCTCATGCATTATTTGCTACTGGCCCCTATAGCTAGATGTTAATACAACTTTAGAGTCAGTCGTTTCTTTATTGCCAGTGTTCTGTGGTGTGGATGCATGCGAGTGAGTTTAAATGTGACTGGAATTAAGATTTTAGGTGGGCCAATATGAATTTAAGCAGGGAGCTGTTGTACAGAGCTGTTCTTTGCCAGATACTGACATGGTTGGTCTGTTCTGCGTGGGAGCGCTATGTCCTTCCTGGTTAGGAATGAGGAAGAAAGTTTCTTCCCTAGGTGGTATCTGTGGAAGTGAAAAGTTCTGTGTAAAAGTAGTAACTCTGGAAATCCGCATTGCTGGCACAGCTTCTGCAGCTCAGACTAACCTTTACTGGCACAAGGTGTGTGGCTAGTGAGTCACTTGCTAGTTTTGTCCAAATTAACCCTGTTTTGTAAAGTGACTTTTTCAACTTATTTAAACAAGCAGTCTGCTAAAATATTTTGTGGGTGTTTTTCTGAGTTATTTTTCTCCATACTTAGAGAATTACAAAACCCCTCCGTATCATCACTGGTCCTCTTGTCTCATAAGTGTAGGTAAGACAAAAATGTCAGTGTCCAGAGCCGAGATTCATTAGAAGGTATCTGAAGCCAGCCAGCACCACATGTGGTGTGTGGTGCACTGGGTGTGTTGCAGATGGGGTGTGTATTTATCAGTTTGTAGCAAAGTCTGAGCAGTTATCCTGCAAGTGATTTCCCTTTGCATTGTGTGGCGTCTGCTTTTGATGTGTTGGTGATTTGCACCTGTGTGCACTCACTCACCTGGGCTACCCAGAAACCTGATTCCTGGCAGCAACAGCATCAGTAACTATAACTTGTGCAACAGTTAAATTAAAATTACTTCTCTCCCTGACCTTCTGAAGTGTAGTTTTGTATTTCAGTAGTCCTTGATTATGGCAGACTATTTTCATTAAAAAAGAAACACCCAAAGTACTTCTAGCTCAGTCTAATCCGTAATGCCATCTTAATTCAACTAGAGGTTGTTTGAGGATTGTGTTGGGGTTTATTTAAACTAGTTAGATACATTTGTCTGTATATTTTGAATGTATAAGTCTGTTGTTTGTTGTTTTTTTGAATATGATGTTACAGTTTTACTGCAGGTATTCATACTCTGTAAGCCTGACCTTTCCCCCCTGTAGTCTGTTGTCAGTAGGTTGATGGTGTTGATGTGAGACTGAGCATTTGCCTCAGACTTCATGACATTTGCTGTTGAGAGGAATTAGCATTTATATGCATGTGTAAATGAATTTGTTAATCCATACTATTAATCATTTAAATTATTAAATTTAGATGCATTTGTTAATCCATATTATTAATAATTTAAATGGTTAATTTAAATGTGTTTGTTAATCCATATTATTAATCATGCATTATTGGTACTTTGTAAGGAGTTATTTCACTAGATTTCTTAAACTGTATTGAAGTTCTGACATCCCTTTGATTAATGATTACCAAATATGTTACCAACTTCTTCCTTAACTAGAACAGGTATGGGGTATACAGGGAAGCTTATAAAGGCCGTGTATTTATTAATGAAGTCAAATTTAAAGTGGCAGTGTTATGTAGATAATGAATTCAGCCAGAACACTTGTTCTGTTACCCTGTCAGATGTAATTAAAAAACCCGTCTTCTTAGTCCAAGACAAGAGACTGGTATTAGCAAATGTGGAGGTCACTTTTCCAATGCGCAGCCTTCTGCTGTAACACTCACAAAGTCACTAGCTTTTCTTATGCAGAAAGAGTCTACTGGCTTATTTTTTCTAAAAGTAACACCACCTAAAAATTATGGCAGTTGGTAGTTTTGTGAGACTTGCATAATATTGAAATATCCTTCAGCTTTTAACTTTTATGTCATAAGGTTATACTGGCTTAAAGTATCAGTTATTTTGAGGAGTTTGGAGTGTGAGATCAAAGCAGGACTACAGGAGGCTTTCTATTTTGGTAGCCTTATCTATAATATAAATAATGAGTTGAGGTAGATAATACTATGAAAATTTGTGCTGAGCATCATTAAGTTTGAGACATATGTTGGTCACTGCATGTGCCTTGTCTTACCAGAACTTTTGTTAATCACCAGCAGAGCTCAACTGATAATGTTTCTATTAAGCAAATCTTGGACTAGAAATTGAGTAGTATGTATGCTTGAACGCAGAAGTAGCAAAACCTCGTGACACCCAGCTGTGCACCACATCTGCATGTTGCTGGGAAGCACTGAGTGGCTCAGACCTGGAATGTGTGAAAGGAGCTTACAGATGTGGTGAAAGTCAGTCCCCAGGGCTCCTCTGTCACTGCAGGAGGGAGGTGAGCTCTGTGTAGCTGGGGCCTGTGTTGGCTCAGGCTCCAGGAATTGGCACTGGTTGTTTGACAGAGCTGCCTTGGACTGCTGGCAAACTTGTATAGCTCAGACAGTGAGCTGGCCCTGTGCATTTGTAGTGTCAGAAAGGACTGGGAATTGTATCAGCCATATGCTTGTATTTGGTGTTTTTCACTCTGGCATCAGCTGTTTTGGTCAGGTGGATTAGAAGGTGATGAGCTTGTGAACTTTTACATTTGCAAAAGTTCACTGTGTTAACAAGCTCAACCAGGTGTTACCTTGCATCCCTTCTTGAGTTGCTTTGTTATTGAATATGCAAATAAAGCATGTGAAGTGTAACTAGAGCTTCTCGTCCATCTACAGCATTCTCACCTCTGGCTGGATCCAGGGGATTATGCAAATTTGTCATCACACTTCAGCAAATGTGTGAGAAGTTCCACTCTCTTTGTAATGAATTAGCTCTCAGTTCAAATTAATACCAAGATCCAACACCTGTTAGATGTTCTTCCACTTTTCTCTTGCTATATGAAGTAATCCGATACCAGTATTAGTGGTATGTTGATGATATGTCAATGAATATACTTGTGATGTGCATTTTTATTTCATTTCTTCTTTCGTATCTTTTTGTTTTCACTTGACAAAACCCTCATATTTATGCTGGTTTTAAAAAGCCTGTATCTTGAAACATGAAAAGTAACTTGGACATTGTGCTTCCTTCTCTGTGGATGTGATAAGAAACTTGTCAAGCAATAAAGCTTAATTTGGAACTTGTGCACTCTCTAATTATGTCAGCATATGGATGGAAGAATTCACCTTTCCAGATTTTCTTCCATAGAGATCTCTTCCCAGGCAAAATAGAAGTTGATATTATGCGAATGGTTCACTTTATTCTTTTTACATAAAACACTGAAAGAACAGTGTATCAGCCAACTTGTATTAGAACGTTTTGTAGGAAAATCCCATTATCCTGTGCCTGCTGCCATATGCCATTTGACTTACAATTTATTTATGCCCGCATTAAATATCAGGCAGTGTTATCATGATAGGTCTTGAATTCAGAAATATTTTTCTATAGAGTTTGTATTAAATGAGAGGGTGGATAACTTTGGTTCTTCCTGAAAAGCAACTTGTATGTTTATAATAACATTGTGTATGAAATCTATTTAGGGTAGTATTTAGAAAAGCTATTTAACCCACCCTCCTTTTCCCAGTAGATAGCTTGTGCCTTCTAATTCCTGAACAGCAGCAGCAGCCAGGTCTAGCTCCCGGACAAGCTATTAAGCTACAAATGTCAAAAATTAAAACACTATATCAAGATGAGTGTAGAGTAAAATATGGTTATTGGCTGTAGAGTACTACTTGTTACAGAGATGAAACCTGGTGAATGCTGAAGTTGCTTTATGCTGAAGGTTATTCATCAGTGAATGTTCGAATAAGCTTTTCTGCAGCCATTGTGAAAAGAGGTGTCTGGATGCCTTAATCTAGTACATTATTTGAAACAATACAGGAACACATTTCTTTTGATTAGGTTGAAGGAGGTGATCCTGCCCCTCTACTCTGGTGAGACCTCACCTGGAGTATTGTGTGCAGTTCTGGTGTCCTCAACTTAAAAAGGACATGGAACTGTTGGAACAAGTCCAGAGGAGGGCCACGAGGATGATCAGGGGACTGGAGCACCTCCCATATGAAGACAGGCTGAGAAGTTGGGGCTGTTCAGCCTGGAGAGGAGAAGGCTGCGTGGAGACCTCATAGCAGCCTTCCAGTATCTGAAGGGGAATAGGTTGCCCAGGGAGGTTGTGAATGCCCCATCCCTGGCAGTGTTCAAGAACAGGTTGGATGAAGCCTTGCGTGATATGATTTAGAGTAAGGTGTCCCTGCCCACGGCAGGGGGGTTGGAACTAGATGATCTTAAGGTCCTTTCCAACCCTAGCTATTCTATGATTCTATGATTTAGAAACAGATAATATAATAAGCATTGCCAGCAGTGATAAGCACCGTTGTGTTCCATTATGGTGACCGCAGTTACTCTAATGTGTTAAACTTCTGTTTAGACATCAGAACACTTGATCTAAACTATTTCAAATTAATAAGTCTTCAAAAGAATACAGAAGGTTTCTAGAGAATTTTAGTTTAGTTGCTGAGATATTTTCTTGGCCATAGTTGTTAAACTTGTGACGGTGATTGGGAATCTGCTGAAGCAAAAGTCCCTGAAATAGATGACAAAACCACTTGTAACCTGAAAGAGTTAATAGAAGGTAAAGTATTGAAATATATTAATGAAAGGCAAAGAGTGATTACTGTGTGCTCAGCAAATAGCACCTGCTGAGCTGAGGGCATGTTTTTAAGATGACATTCTGCTGTAGCCTGAGATGGTCTGGTTTGAGGAGTTCAGTTTCAAAAGGTATAAAATTTACTACAGGATCACACCATGTTTTCCTGATTTAGACCTTGGGCATAATTTTGTATTAATATTTGCAAATAAATCTTGTAATAATTGAATTATAAGCCCTGGAGAGAGCATTTTGTTATGGTGAATAAAATATGGAAGATCTTGGTGAATATCCAGTGATTTGATGGCTGAGTACCAGCCCTTTGATAGGTGAGTTTCTATACAGAAAACTTAAATTGTCACTCCTACTAGCTTAGAAAACCAAAACTGTTGCCCCTGACACTGCTTAGTTGTGAGAGATGGAACTTCCATTGAGAGAGACAAACGTCTTCGGTTATTTCTGGCTTTTCTTTTGGGAGGAGTGTGTGGGTGTAAGCTTGTTTTAGGAAAGAAGATATTTCAGGAAGTGACATTTTGTAGCTGGAATAAAATTAAGCCTTAGTAGCTTGGAAGAAAACCAGATTATCTCCTAGCGTGTTTCAAAAATGTCCAAGTATTGTGAGCATTAAAATACGTGAACAGTGTTTTAGAGAGTCAACAGAGCATTGCAGCATAATACAGTGAGGATGATAGCTTATATAAAACCAGTTGACTGTGCAGTATATGGCTGTTTGGATAGCCAGATGTAACTAAACATAAGTATTTCTGAAGTGGAGTTTTGGAATGAGTTTGGCAGCTTTATTTTGTCTTACGAAAAAGGATGACATTATATTACTACATTGAAATTAAATGAAAGCCATCCCTGGTGAAAAGATAAAGGACGGAAATTTGTTGGTGTTTCTTTTTAGGGCAAAATACAAAGCTCAGTCTTTGTATGTGGTGGTAGGGTTGAAGGTTTAGAAATCTTGTAGATTAATTTTAATTTCTACTGTTTTCTAGTGCCCAAGATGTATGCAGTGTGATACAAAATTTGACTTCATAACTAGAAAGGTAAGAGAAATCAATGAAATGTAAAGCATTAACTGTGGCAAAATACTAGTGTGGACTTATACTGAAATCTTCTACCTTTGAAATCAAAAGAAGAGCATGCAAAGTCTAATGTAACTTAAAGTAGTTTTTCTTTCTGTTCTGCCTTTTCTGAGTCAAGGTCCTTTTTGGTTTAATTCTGTTTCTTTGAAATTATTCTCTCTGCTCAATGTGTAACACCTATGTAGAGTTTTCCCAAATTACTGGGTACCTGCAGGATTTACATTCAGAGGAGGCAGCTGGAGTTGGCTGCTACCATCAGTACTGACATAGGAAACAAATCGACTAATTCAGGTGTGGAAATGTAAGCAAAGCTGTTTTCAATAGTAATAGTAATGAGTTATAATTTTACATTAAAGAACCATATTGTTAAGATGCACAAAAGCAAAACACAAATCCTCTTTCTGTTACAAAAGAGGATTTATCTTGGGTTTGGAAAAGGGAATTTCTAATTAAAGTGTAAACACCCTTGATTGCTGTGAGCCATAATCAGGCACACTGTATGAAGAGAAAACACTGATGTTAAATTATGCTCATTACATAAAAGTGAGCAGGTCAGTGTAGAATTATTCTGGTGTGCATGAATGCCACCAGACATACCAGTATGTTATATCAGATAGGTGAAAATTTTCAGGAGGCCTGCAGAGCAGCAGGGTGTCAGTCAGTGATCCTAGTAATAGAATAGAACACAATATTTCAGTTGGAAGAGACAGTGATTATCTAGCCCAACTGCCTGATCACATCAGGGCTCACTGAGTTACAGTCATGTACTGTACATGTTATTAAGGGCATTGTCCAGCTGCCTCAAACACTGATGGGCTTGGGGCATTGCACACCTCTTTAGGAAGCCTGTTACAGTGTTTGACCACCATATACCAGGGTATTGAAGTTCTTCCTAATGCCCAATCTAAACCTCCCCATAGCAGCTTTGAAGCATTCCCATGTGTCCTGTCACTGGATACCAGGAAGGAGGTCTACTCTCTACTTCCCTTCAATCATAGAACACACTTTCTCCTAGTTCTTGTTTTACCTTTTAGCTGGATGGGTTAAGAGCATGGTGGGTGGCTGGTTTGAGTGTTTTGGTTTAGAAGCGCTAATTCATGAGGCTGCTGTGTTTTATTGTGGGGAGTAAATGAAGCCCTGGGAAATAGTTACTGCAGAGAATTTTGCACAATATTTGGAAGGAAAGCTTAACACTTGAGCAGCACTGCAGTGTATCAGTTCCTTGTATCAAACTGTGCTAAGTCTCTTTGCACCACACATCAGTTCCTGCTTGCCTGGGAATACGTGTTCTGACATGAGAACTTGCAGCAGGAAGACCTGCTGGGACTGTCACACCCCAGTAGTGATTTGGAGCACAAGCCACTTGTTGCAGATTCGGTAGTTGTGAAACTCATAGCAATACTAGTTCTGATTTTGCAACTTCATTACATTTGAACTGTGCTTCCTGATATTTCTGATAGAGAAATAGCTTTAGGGTTTAAGTATGAAGATTTCCATCTTTTTCCATGGGAAAAGATTCAGAATAAGTTTTAAGGGAAAGAGTAGCAATGCCAGTTGAAGTGTCATTTTGCTTGGAAGTGTGAAGGGACCTAGAAACCACTCTTTTCTTGTGTGTTTATTGACAGTAGGGTGAAGGATTTACTAGACAGTGGAGAGGCCATTACAGTGTCTTGCCTGGTCTGCTCCAGAAGCATGTTTAAAGAGTGCCAGCAAAGGCTTGTATTGCTGCTGTTCATACTGTACTCAGTTCTTTGTGTTCAGTCTTCAGGGATTTCTTCCTACCCTTGTAGCAATTGAATTTCCTTTACCTATCCCTCAACTGGTATGTTTCACACATGAGAAACTGTTCTGTTTCTTGAGGAGGGGGATAATTAAAGTAGTAACTTTCTCAGATTATTCCCTATTAGTTTCCGCTGTACATTTGTGCTAACCAAATTGTCCCCTCGTGCTTAGCACCACTGTCGAAGATGTGGGAAGTGTTTCTGTGACAAGTGCTGCAGTAAAAAAGTGCCTCTGCCTCGCATGTGCTTTGTGGACCCTGTGCGCCAGTGTGCTGAATGTGCCCTCATCTCTCAGAAAGAAACAGAGTTTTATGACAAGCAGCTTAAAGTACTTATGAATGGTAAGGATGGACTGCATATATGTGCTGGTTTGATCTCATTTGTATTTGTTCGAATGCTGTGTTAAAACTGATCAACAGGAGGAGTAATACCTCTTGTCAAATAAGCTGTGGTTTTGTCTCCTTTAACTACTGTTTTCGTAGAATCATAGAACAGGGTTGGAAAGGACCTTAAAATCGTCCAGTTCCAACCCCTTGACATGGGCAGGGACACTTTGCACTAAACTGTGTTGCCCAAGGCTCTGTCTGACCTGGCTTTGAAAACTGCCAGGGATGGAGCATTTACCACTTCTTTGGGCAACCCATTCCAGTGCCTCACCATCCTTACAGGAAAAGCTTCCTTATGTCTAACCTGAACTTCCCTTGTTTAAACCCATTACCTCTTGTCCTGTTGCTACAGTCCCTGATGAAGAGTCCTTCTCTGGCATTTGTTGTCATGCTTCTCATTTGCCAATTAATAATTCTGTGTTCTCAGTTTATTTAGAAGGAAGTTTGCACTTTTTAGGCAGTATTTACAAAGATTTAACTAAAGACAAAGGATTTTTCAGTGCCTCTGAGAACACGTGTGCAGTTGGCACATTTCTTAAAGTAATGAATCCTGTAGCCACCTTCCTGTTAACATTAAATAAGGATGGAAAATACTTCACAATATGGATTATTTTAGTATTTTCTAACAAGATACAATGCTTGTTTCAGGCTTCGTCTCTGAGCTTTGATCTTGTCCGTGGCCTACAGCTGTGGTTGAGGGCAAAACATGAGTGGCCAGTTTTGCATAGCATTAAAACTACATGCAGTACAGCAATTCATGTTCTGGTTACATTAAGAAAGCTGAGTCTTTGGTTTTTAAAACATTGTGTGATTGTTCAGTGGCTTTTGATGGGCTCTCAGTGTGATGCTGGTGTCTACAGTCAGTAGCTAAAGCCACATACTTGTTGATAGCATGAATGTTCCTAGGGAGAGGCTATGTGTAGAGAGGAGAATGTTCATCCCTGTGACACACAAGTCATTCTTAGCTCTGTTTTGCAGATGAGGCTGTAGATGACTCTTAACAATAGTGTGTTTTAAACTGAAGACGTCTCTTAAAGCTTATCCTGCTTGCATTTGTGTTATGCAATTGAAGTTGTTCCTGACTTAGGATCAGTTTGATTTAGTTGAAGATGTCCGGGCTCACTGCAGAGGAGTTGGACCAGATGACCTTTGAAGATCCCTCCCAACCCAAACTATTTATGATTCTAGTGTGGAGCCACAGATATCAATCAGAGATGGTGATTGTGATGTCCTCTACAGCTTTGCCATTGCTGTTTTGCTGTCTCGTTTCAGCAGCATGCTGAGGGGTCAGTGGGACTGAGTAAAATTGTGAAATGGCCAGGTGAAGCCCCTTGGGCTGCATGGTTCACATTATGGAGATGGATTGCAGATGGTTTGGCAGGGCTCTATGTTGTTATTTTTTTCATATCCCAGACCAGCAGTACTGGGATTAGGTAATCCAGGGAGCATGAGGCATGGAGGAAATAAAGTGGTTAGGTGTGTAGTCTGCTTTATTTTACACTGTGATTCACTTCACTAATGTAGCTAAGATGACTCCTGGTCCCGAAGGGGCTCTTCTGAGCAGGAAGAAACATAACATGAAGTTCGTTGACCTTAGAGTAGGAGTGAGCTAGCCTTCGCTAATGAAAAAGAGATGTCTCACTATTTATTAAGCACAGTGCTGAAGGTCACATCCTGCTGTTAGATTCTTCTGGCAGGTTGGGTTTTTTTTGAGTACTGAAACAATAGTTTACGTTATGGTGACAAGGGAGGGGCCTTAGTGGCCTGATTGCCATCTCCAAATCTGTTCTCATTTTAAAAGATGCATCTTGGGTATCATCTGTATTTCCACAACATGTGGGAGAAAGGACATTGCAATTGTGGAAGGTCCTGTGATTCACAACACGGTAATTAAAGATCAGCTTTTTATCCTCGCGTGTTCTCCTGATGGTAATCAGTTCAATGTTTCAATTAGTCTCTTAATTCACCCACTCCCGTGTATGAGGTGCAGTAAGGAAATATGAGTTATCATTTCTGATACTTGAATGATCCTTCCTCAGCTCCCTCTTAGAATACTAAAACATTTCATTCCAGGTGCTTCATTCTTTGTAACTCTGGGAACATCTGAAAAATCTGAGCTCATGGTTTGTCGACTTTCCAACAATCAGAGGTAAGAAAGGTTGATAGAAATTGCACTTGTAAACTACATTATTACTGCACAGCAATATATATATATATATATATAATATACAGCTATGTTATTATCCAGTAACCTGAGCAAAATACAAGTAATGTGCTGCAAAGATATTGGAGAGAGTAGTCAGACTGAAGGGATAGATACAACTTTCGTGAGTTTTAATTTACTAGCAGTGTGGATCAGAATGCCAGGGAGTAGTGGAGCTTCACTTGCCGATGATGTCTCTTGGTGCCACTGGACAGTGGTTTTGCTGGCTAGAAGAGTGATCATAAGAGGCCGTTACAGGGGAGAAGCTGTAGCCACCGAAAAAAGCTTGTTTCAGGATGATTCTAACAGTGCTCTGTATTGTTGAGATGACAGCCACGCCTGTTACCCATTACAGGTCAGCCTGTTGGCTACAACACTTTAGACTCTGTTCTCTTCTTGCCCCAGAACTTTGGAAGAATACCTTTAATATTTTGAAAGGGTCTTATGGCAAACTGAACTGCAGGTCTGTGGTTTGGGTTTGAATTCCTTTCAGCAAAGAACTTCAATGAAAAGTGTTTTTTTTCCTGCTTGATTTCTCTCCCCCCCCCAGGTTATTTTTTTCCTTTGATTTGGACTTTATAGGATTTGGATTTTATAGGAAAAAAATACCTTTTTTTAAAAAAATTTCTTCTGCTATGTAGGTATCTGGTTTTGGATGGAGACAGCCATTATGAAATTGAAATTATACAGATTTCAACTGTTCAGATACTTACAGAGGGATTTACTCCTGGGGGTAAGTTTTTCCTTGAATACAAATTAACTATTAAGAAAAAAATACGTGAAGTTGTAATTATGGTTTGAGCTGGACAGTGTGTTTCCAGGTTATCCATAACTGTGGTGTGCTAGCTACAGCTGCTCTCAGAATGGAGTGCAGTCTGTGAAACACTGTTTGTGGCTGCTGGGATTTTGGGGATAACCTGGGAATTGAGAAATTACTGTAATACAGGAAAACTCCTTTATAAACCTGAGTAAAGGTTGTCATCGTTTGGCTAAATATAAAGATCTATTGATTCAAAAGCTCATAGGAGGGAACTGCTATTCTTTGGTACCTTCCATTTCAGGATCCAGATAGGATTTCTCTTCTACTGGTACAAACAATTGCGTGACGAGTGAGAGAACCTTGGAAGGGGGTGTGGGTGGGAATTAATCTGTGCTTTGTTGATTTCATTGGAGCTGAAGGGGTGGCCAAATGAAACTGGTAACATCTGAATCATGGGGCAGCTACTTACTGCCTCATCTCTTACCAGATATTAGAGTATTTCGGGATGAACTTGAATAGGATTTCACTGAAATGGGAACAAGCAAAGTCAGGAATTTTAATGATTGTTCTTTAGAACACCTCTGTCACTGCTGGAGTTTTCTAAATGGGCAGCCTCTCTGTGCAATATTCAGTCAGTACAGCATGTTTACTTCAGTAAACTTATCTTGGTATTCAGATCAACCAAATATGTTGCTGAGTTAATGTTCCTCTAACTCCTTGTTCACTACTCTGCTGACTGCTTTATCTTTTTGCCTGCCTGCCTTCCTTCTTGACGGTAGAAAAAGATACTTGCACTTACACCAGCCTTCTGGAGAGCCAGCACATAACTGAAGGTATCATCAGTACCTTTGAGTATGACTCACCTAAGCATGTTGTCATGGTCCCCTCCCAGCAATCCTCATCTGCAGTGCTGATTTTTTGATCTATAGCTGTTTAACTTGATACAAATTGTGTTCAAATCTGACAGATACCTTTCCTTCCCATCTAATAAACTGAGACTGAGTGTTCTGTATCTTTTTGGAGGAGAACTAAAATGCTCAAAGCCTTCTTTAGACCACATGTGCTATTGTCCACGCTGGAAGGGAGAAGGGAAGTTGAGAAATAGTATTTTTTTGTGGCACACAGTGTTATGCATCACCCACTTCAACAGAGGTGTGCTGAATTGTGTATACCAGAAATGAGTAATGCCTTGTGCACTGTCCAGTAGGCCTCTGCACTAAATAAACAGTTAATGGTGTGCTTTTACACATCTTTAGAAGTAGTAAAACCTGTTGTTACAAGGTGTGTTCTGCCTGAATCAGTAATGTCCTGGAATGCCAGACAGTGGCAAACTGTCCAAGGCTGTAGGTGTTTGATTTCCATGGATCTGAGTAGGTCTTTAATCTGTTATTCTGACCAGGTATATGCAGGGGAGTGAGTGAAGAAGTTGGATTTCAGTTTACCCTAGAAGAGGAGCGAATAGCTAGTTTTATGAAAACTGCTTGTGGGCTTTTGATCAGGTCACTTAGATTAAGTTTGTCTTTGTTTGGCTTCTTGGATATTGCAGAAATGGCCTGTGGGAGCCCCCTCATGCAATGCTGTCCTGTGTATAGCAGTGCTGTTCCTGGGGCTTAGTTTATGCTCTGCTGCTTCAGGAAATAATGCCAATAAAGTGCAGTATTCTAAACAAAGCTTGTTTCCTGTGTTTTGGCTTTGGTTTATCTTACCTCTGTGCAGCTAGTGTAAAAGAGATACAAGTCGCTATCACACGGTTGCCAGAGCAATGTCATTTGTAGCAGATTTCCTTCAGGAAGCCAATAACATTGACAGTTGTTTTTTTCTAGTCTTGTGTAAGCACCTTTCCCAACCTTTGCCATCCTTGGAGGGATTTTTGATTGCTGTGCCAAACTTTGTATCGAGCAGGGAGCCCTTTTGGTGTCAGTCTGGATATGTCTGTCCAATGACCTGGACACAGGTCATTCAGTTTACAGACTGCAGGCTACAGTGTGAAACTGGTGTCTGTGTCAAAGAAGACACAGTAATAGTGAAAAAGAGGGTTATTTCCTGTGTGTGTAGCTAGTGGCTTTACCTGATGGCTTATACAAGTTCTGCCTCGGTGATTGCCAGAGAGAACTAAACATTGAGTCTACACATTCTGTGGCCTGGCAGTATCACCATGGTCACTGCTGCAGCTGCTGGTGGTGCACCTGAGGTTTCCAGGGCTTTCAGTTAAGTGATAAGCTGGTGTCTTCAGACACACTCAGTAGCTACAAGTTGTTCTGTTACTTAGCTCCAGAACCTGTCTCTGTTGAAGGTTTTTTCTTTTTCCAGGAGGCAATACTCGTGCCATAGGTATGATTCTGCAGTATAAGGTACCAGGATCAGAGGAGCTAATGCAGATGAAGTTTACAGCTTGTGAAGACTTCAGCTGTAATAAGAAGCTGTCAGCAAGCTGGCTGGCAGCTATGCACAAGGTAAGCAGTGGGGGCAAAACTTGCAGAAGGCTGAAGTAAATCTTTATGTGGGGTGCTTTGTCTCCTTTGACAGTCATTTAGCTTGGTTTTGTGTGAGGCTTTCAGAGGTCCCAGTTAATAGCATGTAAAGGGAAGAGGAAGCACTTCTATCCCTAGTGCACGAGGTTGCTCGATACTATAGTCTGAGACCAATGAAACCCCTAGCAGGGACTGTAAGGAGACATGAGGATTATAGAACATAACATTGTTTACTGTATGTTTTAGAGGGATTACCAAGATCTTGGAAACATTACTTCTATCTAGCTTTTCCCAAGGCAGTTTTTATCAGAAATGGTCATTTCTGACAAAGAGAAAACAAATATAAGTTACCTGAATTATTCTGTGACCACAGGTTCTGCATTTAAACTAACCCTGAATAGTCTCAAACCTTACTCTAGTGCCTGTCTGACTGTTAAGTGCCTTAGATGGAGAAAAATGGATAAAGAACTTAAAGCCTTGGGTTTAAAGGAAATTTTTGAAGGGGTAGGAGGGAGATGAGGTGTTAAGTTCTGTTAACACAGTGATGTTTTGTCTTTGTGTTAGGCAACAAAACTTCTTTACGAGTCCCGGGACCAGTAAGGACAGCAAACCGCTGGCACCTGAGGGCAGAGCCCAGCCTCCACAGACTTGCCTCTTGCTCTCTGCTAGTTAATGGCTGGTAACACTCATGGTTCTTGACCCTCTATCATTCCAGCGTGGTTCAGGATGCAGGAACTGGCAGATGCAGGGGGAGCATGTTTCTGACCCATGAGTATTCACAATAGTGTGCAATATGTATACAATTACTGCTTTAAACAGCCTCACCTTTTAAGACTTTGTATATTTTGTTAAGCCTTTATTGGTACTTAATATAAAAGTGACCTGCACTACAGCCCCTGTACAGCACAACTTTCATAGTAACAGTTATGTATACTGTTTGCTACAGAAAGCAAACAAATGTATATGTCTCTTCTGCAGAGAACAGCTTTTGGGTATAGATCTCAGGTTTTTCCCTCTATCCAAATGGTTAAAAGTCAATGTACAATAATGAAATATGCCTTAGCTATGATTTTATAGAAATCACTTTTTTTTTTTTTAACATTTACTGTTAAACATTAAATATTTCAGCAAATACCACAAACTGGACTTACATGACCTTGAAACTTCACTTCTGTGATATAAATAAGCTTCCAGAATAATGTTTAGTTTTGTATTTTCTTTTTGGTAACTAGCTTTTGTTAATCTAACTGTAATACTCTCTGAAATTGTATACAGTTTAATGTATAAATATGAATAAATTAATTCACTTATTTAAAAAAACCTAGGTCATACTTAATTTTGCAGTGTGTAACTTTGTGGATACGGTGGTCTCTGCTCTCTGAAACTTCCCCTTTTGATAAAGAGCACTCTCAGTTTAGTTCTAACCATTGATAATTGCCTCAACCACTGGGATGAATCCTCTGGCTGCACACTCTGTGCCAAGTGACTTTCTGCCCTGGTCTTCCCATGCTGGTAAAGACTGAGTAAACCAGTGCAGGAGGCTGAGCTGTCAGCTTGTATGTGAAGGACCCCTCAAGAGCTTTTCTAGGTAAGTAGTAATTTATCACAGCTGGAATACTGGAGAACTTGTATAAAACGCTGTTTGGCAACTCCCTGTCTGTGCAGCTGGTGAAGGAGGCAGTGAGGAAGCTGGAGGTGACAGGCAGAACATGACAAGCTCAGAGTGCTCTTTTTATGGCAACTGTGAGGGAAGGCATGTTTGCCTGCTGTTTTACCTGTATAAAAATACTGGAGAATGCAGCCATGCCTTAGCAGGACTTTATTGTGCACATTTACACGTTCTCTGAATTAGTGTATCATAGGCTCTTGAAATCATCACATTCATGTAGCAAATTCTTCAACAATAATACCCTTTCACTTTTCACCACAATATATACAGTTAATGCTAACCTGTGGTAAAAGCAAGTTACAGCACTGCAGGAATGGAGATATAAATTATACACAGAACTTGTACATGAAGAATTAATCAAATTGCATACTGTTAAATGGGAGAAAATTACAAGAAATATGGCTAAAACTCATAATGGAAATTCAAAATAGACTTCTGATGTATAAAATCATGTACAATTAAAATGCCAGTGAAGTGCCTCTTTGTTTTTTTGCTGGAAACTCCCATGTACTGGAATAGGTTATTGCATAACTTGCCTTGGCAAGAACTGGAGGCTGCCAGGAACCACAATAAAATAAGTTAGTGCCTTTCTTAAATCCTTCTCTAAACCTTGTTTCTTTCTTCTCCTTGACTTTGCATCTACACAACCCTCTTCCTACTTCTATCCCATCCTTCATATTTTAGTCTAAACTGACTTGGGCAGACTTCAGCTCACACAGTATAACCCTTACCGGACTCTCACCCTTTTCTACTATTGCACTTCCATCCATGCAGACATACAAATCCTTTAACTGCTGCACATTTGGTACTGACTGCTTTGGCCAGGGCAGACAAGTGCCAGTAGCTGGCAGAGGAACCTTTACATTAGTAGAGATAACACTGGTGCTGTAGGCTGAATAAGAAGAAAATAAAACACTATGTGAAATACCGTGTAGGGGATTTGAGAAGTGTACAAATACTGTTGTTCTGTCAGTTCTCTAGCTCAATTCTAAATGCAAATAATATGAGGTGCTAGACTATAGTTAAAGCTTTTGTTGGGGTTGTCTAGACTAGGATGTAAGCCTGTAGCATGTTACTGCTTAATCCTAGCCTTAATTTAGCTTTGGTGACTACTTAAATTATGCACATAGTAAGTCAAGATCTTGTGTCCTAGAACCCAAGAGTTGATCGTAATAAGAACTCAACATTCACTGGTATCAAACAAAATATCCAAAATCCTGATGTGGGACAGTTGCTGTGGGGTTGGAGCAAACTGGACAGCGTATCTGCACCCCACAGGTGACACCTCTGAACACTGAACACAAGAAAGCTCCAACCACGGAACTTTTAACTTAAATCACTGCTTCAGACGATAGTGGTGCAACACTGTAGGTAGTGGAGGTATCGCTCTCCTCAGCAGTTGTGGGTCATGTAAAAACGATCCTCATTTACAAACTGCAGATCTTGAAAATCGTGGATGCTGTCCATTTAACAAGAGAAAGCACCATTAAAACTAAATATTATAGTTTTATTTCTCTGTGTGAAATGATCAAAAGTGATGGCTCCAGTGTATGTTTTAAGTTTCCAGTTACCAGCATGGTATTGCACTGTTGTACAACTGAGTTCAAGCAAGGGTTCGTTGTCTAGGTTTTATTCGTGGATATAACTGTAAAAAACAGAACAAAAATATTAGGTTTTGCATGACTGACACCAAGTTGGATATAAATTAATCCAATTCTAAGGGGTACTTGTTAACAAGAGCTGGATGATAGAGTGGTTGGTGGGGGTGACATTTTCGTGAGCTACAGCATGTTCTTGGGTAACTTCTGAAAAATAAACCAGAAGCAGCAGGAGGCTGAGGGCTGAGTTCCTCCTGCCAGCAGCTGCTCTGGAAATGACTTAGTTCATTTGATTCAGGATCTCAGCCTGGACCAAAAGATGCGCTTATGTAAGTACAAGAACTCCCTGTTGAGCCCTGGGGAGTGCTCATTTCCTGTCCTTTAGAAGGTTGTCTTACACACGTTGTCCTCTGTATGTCTCTCCCTAGTAGCCTCACATTCCTGGTATCTGGATAGCAGTGTTCTGTTAGACTGAGAACAGCATAAAAACTTGCCAACAGTTGCCATCCTTACAGCTCTTTCCTGTTTAACCTACAATATCTGTGTGTTGCTCATCTTGTGCCAGGTACTGAAAACCTTCCTGAAGAACTTCCTGGACCAAAGCTTCATGCTGCCTAATAGAGCCATCATGCTTTACGTAAGGGCCCTGTGTTTCAGCTGAGGGGCAAAATAACCTTAGAAAAGTATAAACTATTAACTTTACTAACTTGCCAAATAAAACTCAGCACTAATCTGGCCACTGCCTGTCCTTTTTGTTCACGATGACACAGAGGCAGGAGAGAATAAGGACAATCATCTGCTTTGGACTGTGTCATAGCAGTGTATCTGGATGATATACAGGGATCCTGACCAAAGAACATTCTTGTGTCCCACTTTGGGAGGAAGAAAGAAATAGAAGGGAGAAGGTAACTGAAACAGAACTCACCCCAAGAAGGTTTTTAGGCACATAGCCTTCTTTATCATTGAGGCGGGCCCACCACCACTCTGTTTCATTGTCATCCTTGCGTCTTAGAATAGTAATGGCATCACCTTCATGGAATGACAACTCATCATTATTCTGGGCTTCGTAATCCCACAGAGCATACACCACTCCTTTGTTCATCACTCCCAGTTTCTCTTGCACTCCTGTTAACAATAAAGCAGAGAAAGCTACAGTTTGGGCAGAGAAGAGATTCAGAGCAGCCCTGCAGAGAAGGACTTGGGGGTGTTGGCTGATGAGAAAATGAACATGAGCCGGCTTCAGTGTGTGCTCGCAGCCCAGAAAGCCAACCGTATCCTGGGCTGCATCCAAAGGAGCATGACCAGCAGGTTGAAGGAGGTGATCCTGCCCCTCTACTCTGGTGAGACCTCACCTGGAGTACTGTGTGCAGTTCTGGTGTCCTCAACATAAAAAGGACATGGAACTGTTGGAACAAGTCCAGAGGAGGGCCACGAGGATGATCAGGGGACTGGAGCACCTCCCGTATGAAGACAGGCTGAGGAAGTTGGGGCTGTTCAGCCTGGAGAAGAGAAGGCTGCGTGGAGACCTCATAGCAGCCTTCCAGTATCTGAAGCGGGGCTATAGGGATGCTGGGGAGGGACTCTTCATTAGGGACTGTAGTGATAGGACAAGGGGTAACAGGTTAAAACTTAAACAGGGGAAGTTTAGATTGGATATAAGGAAGAAGTTCTTTACTGTGAGGGTGGTGAGGCACTGGAATGGGCTGCCCAAGAAAGTTGTGAATGCTCCATCCCTGGTGGTGTTCAAGACCAGGTTGGACAGAGCCTTGGGTGACATGGTTTAGTGGGAAGTGTCCCTGCCCATGGTAGTGGGTTTGGAACTAGATGATCTTTAGGTCCTTTCCAACCCTAACCTATTATTCTAATACCCCAGATGTTGGTCTTCCCTCCAAAATGTTTTGTATGGACACTGTGGCCCAAATACGAGTCTGTTTTATTAATAAAAGATTTCATGAACAATTTTTAGCACATGATGAAATGCTTTCCGAACTTAAGGTGCATAACAAAACCAAATTTCACAGAGCACTGTAAACCAGTGCATGAGTTTTTCTATATGCAATAGAAACTTTACAATCTTTTATTCAAATGAGGAAAAAATAGCTCTACAAAGTTCTGAGCAAAGCAGCTTTAGAAAATTGCTGTGTGTTTCTCACAGGCCTGCTTTCTACAGCAGGTGTTACACAGTAATGCTTGAAGCTTTTGGAAATCTGCACTGTATCAGGTATACAGAACCCTAATGGAGCCTGCAGCCTCTGATGGAAATGAAAAAATCTGTCTGCTCCATCAAAGTCCTTTCCTTGCAAAATAGAACTTGGTAACTATGTTCTGTGAGTTAATTATTCACAAAGTATATATGTTTCTTCATGTGATCTTGTGGTGGTGGTTTAAACCCAGTCAGGCAACTTGTTCACTCGCTCCCCCACTTCTTGCCCTCCCCCTGCTCCCGGAGGGACAGAGAGGAGAATCAAAAAGAATGCAACTCCCATGGGTTGAGATAAGAACAGTTTAGTAACTAAGGTATAACACAAATCACTACTGCTACCACCAGTGATAATAATGATAAAGGAAGTAACAAGGGAAGAGAATACAACACCTCACCATCAGCCAACCGATAACTCGCCCACCCAGCCCGACCAAGCTCTGACCGATGCCTCCTCCAGCCCCGCAGACTCCCAGCCCTTCCAGCTAACTCCCAGTTACATCCTGGGCATGACGTGCTGTGGTATGGAATACTTCTTTGGTCAGTTTGGGTCAGGTGTCCTGTCTCTGCTTCCCCCCAGCTTCCCCTCCTCCCTGGCAGAGCATGAGGCTCACAAAGTCCTTGGCCAAACCAAAACATCCTTGTTATCAGCATTGTTCCCAGGCTGAAAGTCAAAACACTGCACTGCACCAGCTACCAAGGAGGAGAAAAATGACTGCTACTGCTGAACCCAGGACAGATCTGTAAGGAATTTGTGCACCTGGAAGTTGGAGTATCTCTGTCAGGATACTTGACAACTTGGTTACTGTCAAATGGAAGCTTCCCATGGAAGCATTTTCTTGAAATTAGGCCAAATTAAAGGTTAAAAATTGGTGACATTAGAAGGGGGCCTGTGGAGTAACTCAAAGACCAGAAGCACTGTGAGCACCACAGAATGGTTTGCACTGGAAGGGACCTTAATTATTCCAGTTCCAGCCCCCTGCCATGAGCAGGGACACCTTCCACTAGACCAGGCTGCTCAAAGCCCCATCCAGCCTGGCCTTGAACACTGCCAGGAATGGGGCATAATCCCCTGGTTTTAGCATTTGGAAAGAGGAGGAAGGTGATGGGCAGTATTGTCTAGTCTGGGACCTATGCAGATGTTTCATGCAAATCAGAGCTAAAAAGGGATGAATTTTAGAAAAGCTAAAGAAATTCATAAAGTAGTGTCCCAGCTTACCATACAAGAACTGGGAACACTGAATATAACCTTCTTCCATCTCTTCACACTTGTCTGCAGCAGTTTCTATATCACTTATAGTTGAAGCAAAAATAGCTGCCCCAGATTCAACCAGTAGTTTACAGAGATGAACGCTATTGCAAGAAGCAGCACAATGCAAGGGTGTCCTGAAATAAAGCAGAAACATACACAGGAAAATATAAGCTTCCATGACTCCTAATTATTTTGTCTTGCTATACAGAGTTCAGCCTGTCTGTTTTTAAAGGAAATTGTTTCTTATGCTTATAGATTATGTACGCATTGTCCAAAACCTGTCAAGCTACTGCAGTGGATCCCCACTATTCACCTGACTCCAGTAAAGCCAAACAGGTGTTAGTAAAAATGTCAATTTTCATTGCTCACAGAACTGCTGGGTACAAAAGGGTATTTTCCAATGTGAAGAAACTTGAAAGATAACCCAGGTCAGCACAGCAAGGTTTTGCATCCCTCCAAATGCTCCAGAAGTACTACATCTACCTGCAAGGCTAGATTCTTCAGCAGTACCAAAATCTGTGGTGGGTTACATGAAGATGAAAACTTCATTTTCATCCTTTCTTACTTACAGTTTAATTAGCGCAGTATCTGAACAACAAATGCAACTGCACCACGAATTAAAACCAAAACATAATGTCATGATTTGAGTGTGCTTGCACAGGAGTTGGACACATAGGAATGTTGCATTTGAGTTTGCCACCACCTAGAGACTAGAATGTGCTCATTTGCTGGGGGTTAAGGGAAAGGAAATTGTTTCCAAATAGGTCTAAACTGAACTCTGAATGTGCACCAAAATGGTGTCTCTCCCAGATGCCAAGTTGACACTTACCATCCATCACTGTCTGCTGCATTTACATTTACACCAAAATCAAGCAAGAACTTCACAATGTGGTGATGACCAGCACACACTGCATTATGCAAAGGTGTAATTCCTTCATCATTTGGTTTACTGGGATCATCAACCTATTGAAACCATAAAAGAGTTCAGCACTTGTTTTCCCAAAAAAATACTTCAAGAGGTTGCTATTCTTTAGCAGCTCACCTCATATATGATTCGTTGTACAAGATCAAATTCTCCCTCCAAAGAAGCATCCAGGAGGAGGGCCAGTGGATTGAACTTCACTCTCAAACCATGGCCTGTTCTTTCTGAGTTTGGTTTCTTCAGGTTGGTACGTTTTGTCTGAGCAGAGATGAAGGTTGAAAGGCAAAATTTTAGCTTGCACGAGTACTAAGAGATGATTTAGT